GGCACTTATGACAGATATGATTGCTGGATAGTATAGGTCAGTAAATATTTTAAACTCTTGATACAAGGACGCTTTCAACAAAAGTAATAGCTACCCCCTATTTTTCATAGTATAACTTCGTTGGTCGACTACTCGGACCCCGTGGTTTGACGGCAAAGCAGATGGAACAAGACCTAGGGTGCAAGATTATGGTCAGAGGAAAAGGCTCCATGCGAGACAAGCGAAAAGTAAAAACAATAAATTTCAGTATTTATAGCATTTTTGATTTCCTATGTGACAAAGTAATCAACCTTTGTTTGCTTAATTAGGAAGACCAAAATCGTGGGAAACCGAATTGGGAACATCTTCAAGAAGAATTGCATGTTCTGGTCAGCGTTGAAGATTACGAGAATCGAGCTGAATTACGTCTTCAACACGCCGTAAATGCTATCACGGTCTTCCTTGAGCAAGGTTTAAGAACAGTAAGTCATAAAATAGTCTATTTTACGATTTAAAGCATACTAAGGAAAACATATTTACGATAATTTAATGGCTACCACTGTTAGGCTTTGCAAATTTTATCCGCTTAAGGAATTACGAAAGCTCTATTTGTTATTCCTTTTAAAGTTCCCATTTCTATTTCTTCTCAAATAATTCTATAATTAGGTACTTTAATTAAAGTGTCAGGTTCACTTATATGTGGAATTAAACAGGCGGCTTTAAAAGTGATTTTCGAATCAGTGAAATGCTCTTCTGACCAATTGCTTGACAGACTTTTCTAATTCAATATTGCGCTAACTCGGAGTAAGGTTGAGGAGATAGAAAATAAATCGCAATTTCATATAATGATACAATAATTTATGGTGCAGTAAATTTATCCGCTAAAAGCACCATTCGCGAGTGATATAACATCCATATCTCGTTGTCATTTATTTATTACAAATGGCAGGCATTTTGATAGTTATCATTATCCCTTTAGCTGGCTTCGAGCTTCACAGAGAGGAAGAGGAACATCAAAGTGACAAAAAGTCGAGAGGTGGGGGGGGGGACAGAATACTGATTCATAGATGTGAAAGAGACAGACAGACACAAAGGCAGAGGAAAGGTAAAATGAGTACCGTGAAAGGGGTCGAATATGACATGCAGTTTGAAGTCAGAAGTTAACTGCCGGTTAATAAACTTTTTTGCCGTATGAGTATACGTTGCCCAGCCGATTAATGGACTTTTTTGCCGTATGAGTATACGTTGCCCAGGGGTTTTTTGCCGTATGAGTATACGTTGCCCAAGGTGCACCACATTTTTGCTGTATGAGTATACGTTGCCCAGGGTGCACCCGGACTCTTTTGCCGTGTATACGTTGCCCAGGGTGCACCAGTTTGTTTGCCGTATGAGTATACGTTGCCCAGGGTGCACCACGTGATAGACTTACTTGCCGTATGAGTACACGTTGCCCAGGGTGCACCACGTGGTGCCGTATGAGTATACGTTGCCCAGGGTGCACCACGTGGAAGTAAGTCTATCCCACACCCCTATTTCGTTATCATAAAAAGTAGAATTTATTCTACGTGGATATGGTATGCATTAATAATATACTCTTATCAAATGTATCCAACGTATCTGACAAATGCTTAAGCTAATTTTTTTGCCAAAATGAGGTAGTAAGACTGAATTTTTTTCACAAATGTCATCATAAACATCACTGGTTCTTTTTATTAACCCCACCAACTCATACGCGTGAACATCTCTGAGAGCCTAAGCACATAAAGCGTCTGCGCGCACATGCAGTCGGAAGGTGAGTGGTTTAGAGCGGGAGAGAGAGATGGATTGTGCTAGGTGGGTTGCACGCAAGGTGCACTCGCTTGTATGTGAGCAGCAGATACAGCGCCTTCGGTGAATCTTAATACTCATCGCTCTATCACTTGACATCTCTGTGCACACTTGCGCAGGTTTATATGCTCACACACACACGCACACGCACGTGTTTAGGTTAGCTAGGAGCTTGCACAACAGCAAGTATTTGCTGCATTCTCAACTTGATGCATTTTTTACCTCTTTTCTCAGCAGATCAATTCAAACGTGGTGTGGGAAAGCATATATACTTCGTTAAAACTCAGGATATAAGAGAGAAGTTGTCACTGTCATCTAAAATATTAGCTAAAATTCATTATGAATAGCCTTATTTTTCATGAGCATGACACTAGAATACGATTCTAGACACTTCAACGCTATTGTTACCTTAAAATTAGACGCAGAATTTTCAAGAATGTTGCATAGAAAGTGTAATGACTGGAATATTTTATCTAAAGTTCAGCTCACATTCCCCCTTACAAAGGCCATCGACATCTAATTTCAGTCTAAAAGAGGTGCATCCAAGATTCATATATTAAAAAAGGAAGGCGGTATATTTTAAAATATTTAATTACTTTTGGCTGTATTTATGAGTGACGTTGAGAAGTCCTTTTTCTCAAAACGAATGAACACGTTTCTTGAGAACTTTCCCATGTGATCTCAGGCTTTGCAGAATATGCACTTGTGATTTTGCAGGAAATATGGTCGCAAGGTAGGGGTTTTGTGCGCATAGAGGGTAAATATGATAGTATAAATCTATTCTAAACTATTCCTTTATTATATCGCTAATCCAACTAGAATTTATGGGCATCTTTGGTAAGATACGCAACACAAGACAAAATCCATCCCAAATTTACATTTCATTGATGAAAT